TTGTACAGATTAGCGTATCGTACATGAATTAACTGACTATGTTTTCGGTCTATACCTTGTGTAAGTGAATTTCATCACTTTTTGATGGTTTATTTGAATAATAAGAAGTTGTTTGTTGGAAGCATGTTTTCTCATCAGCTGAGGAAGCTCCCGTATCGACAGTAGCCTGTTTCCGGGTAAACGGTTGACGCAGATTATAATTTGCAAAACTTGTCGAATCTTGTTAATGTATTACTCCAGTTTGTAAAAAATCGTGAAACACGGCAGGCTCGAAGGTATTTGCCTGGTAACCTTAGGGACACGTTGCCGTCCCGGCATAGGCATACTTTGTTACGTACTGATGGAACGTCTAACGGCGAGGCCGGACGTAGAACTCGAAACATAGAGGCTTGCTCATTTAATTGACGGCCATACATAATTAACCTAAACTTACGGTCTCTAAGGCTTGGGAAGTTTATGATTTGAAAAATATGTCTTCACAGCTTCGCCTTAACCTTTACGTAATTCTCTCTCCGTAGGTAATTGCGGGAGCGCAATTTTACGTTCGATATTCAAAATGGAAAGGTTGGTCATAGCGGATCCTATACAATATCTGTCAAACAAAGATGTTGAGTTAACGCAAAAGTATTAGTGCATAGTATTGTTATCAGTTGAGCCTTGTGTGACCTATTTGTGAACCTCAATCTGTTATAGGTTTATAAAATATAATATAGAATAGCTTGTCCGTTGAAATGCAACGACCTTTCAAATCTTGTGAATTCTAAAAGTAGACACGGCTGCAGACATTTTAAAATACTATCTATTTATCTAAGAAGCGCCTGCGCTTTATGGGGTATGGCACTACATGGGTTGTGCTAAGACTATATTATAATGTGTGGAAGAATGTCTTTACGGTCGGACGTTCGTGTCCGTCGGCCATTTCCACCACCATCATTCAATTTATATTCATTCAGGGAATTCGATATCGGCATTACTAATTAAGCTGAGCTGTTGCGGTTCGGTACATAAGGCACTTTGCTCAAATCGTTTGAGAAGGTGATAGATTATTGCCTGTATTACCTAATAATGTGCTTAGGAAGTTCGAGAGTCCTGAGATTTTTTTGACTTAAATTCCATCTAAATTGATAATTGAGAAAAACATTCATTTGAACAAATTTCCAGCTAGAGCAGGACCCGATTAAATTACAAAGTATACTTTCACAATATACAGGCTTGTTTAGTCTTAAATGTAAAACTATGTCGTACCATAGTTCTGCTCTTTATTGTATACATATATTCGTTTGTCAACCTATATAAACAAACGTTTTGGCATTTCTAATCTAAATATTATGTATCTTTTGCCCGCTATAAGACAACTATTTCTACGTCAACGCTTGTTAGCCTTACAATTGACGCCATCATTTTCTGAATTTCTGAAAAAGATCGGCCACTGTAGATGACCTTCGCGTTTTGTTTCCTCCGCCCGTGAGCACATACAACTTAAGTCACAGTTATGAGCTAGCTACAGAGGCGGTACTCGCGGTGCGTCGATGGTCGGAACTCAAGTACACTTTACTTTCCGTGGCCGCAATGTACTTGCCATTTTGCTTGAACCATCGCTACTATTTCGGCCCGTTGTCCGTTCTTCCCACAATGAAGTACGTGACCGGACGCGCGATGTCCTAGCGAACCACACTAGCACACACAGCGGTGGCCAGTGACGAGGTTTCGCGCCGCAAAACAAACGCTCGACGCAACACAGCCCGGTCCGGCACGTCAGCCTAACGCTTTCTCGCTAATTCTCTATCAAATGGTCACATCGGAACCCCCCATAACCGTTCACTGCTACCTACCGCCTCTCATGTTCATCATTGCTAACCTCCTGAAATCCTGTGTAATGATCAAGTTTTCATAACGTAGCAGTTCAACGTTACGCGCACTCGTGACCACAAACGACTACTGGCTTTTTCAGGTACGAACTATCACGCTCTTCGTTGAGGATACCCACAACTTTGCCACTCATTGTTTCTAACAGGCTGTTGCGGTCGGTCCAGCGTGTTTCACTTCTTTGTCTGCTGCCGCTTTTCACAAGCGTCACTGCCGACAGGCGGCAGCGCTAAAAACTGGGCACATGGCCTGACGGCGCTCATTGCTGCAAAAGCAGAAAACCCCCTAGACACCTTTGTTTCATGAACGCCAAGGTCCACTAGTCCATTTTACGCTGTCAGATGAGCGCAAGCACACCGAACGATAAAAATGCAGCTAAACACAGAGACTTGACGGCATCGATGAAAGCTGCGGCACTATAGTGCCGAAGTATGACGTACGCCAGTATATTTGTGAATAGTTTAGACTGTATGCAAAAAGAACATGCAGGACGTTTAGCGTCCACTATGATAAAATCCGGCTTCGGCTCAAGACGCTTATCCGTGGACTCTCGTGTTGCACAACGTGCGTCACATAGCTCCCGACCACTTGACATTTCCCATAACAGCTCTCACCTATAAAGAAAAGCAACATACGAACCTGGGAGGCTTGGAGTATTCAGAGAGAGAGGCGCAGCTCCATAGGTAATGATTGAAGCTGTGCCCCATGTCTCTTTGCGACCTCTGCATTTCTCATAGAGTGGTCCCGCCCACTTAATAAGTAAGCATAGACTGAGGTAGGAAAAGCTGTTCTAATAAATGTCAGGTCACAGGGAGAAAGGCGCGGTACAGACGTGGCATAACAGAACAGAATAAGGAATAAATTCTAGTTAATTTTGATAATATTATTATCTACGTTATATGAATCGAACTTGAATAAATCTATATTTACTGTAAAGAAATTCGCGATCCCTTATCTGATTTCTCTATCTATAGATCCTCAAAATAAATCAACAGTGGGATAAATGCTTGCCAAGTAATTGCCTTTTTTAGAGCATGAAAAACCATGTAATCACAGGGTGATGATTAAATCATGTTCTGTCTATGGCATCCGTGTTCGTATACGTAGGACTCTCTCAACCCATGTGGATCGTGAACTCATTTCTTAACAACCCAATAGCATCACTCGTTTAGAGCATCTAGTGCGGGCATACGAAGCTTTCCAGGATACCTTGCTAACGGTTCATGGGTTAGCGGTATAGGGTATACGAGTAGCTGTTGTCGTTGACTGTGTCCACGAATACAAGTCGCTCTCCTATCATACCTCTTTCCACGGACAAAACCTGAGCGTGGAAACGATGCGTCTGGGAAGAATCAGTTTTGTAAAAGAAAAAAAGTAGAACATTTTACTCAATAATGATTCGAAGCTTAGCAGAGACGCAATGTCACTGCTCAAGTCAATTGACAAGGGTAACACGACCCAGGTTTTACCTTATAAAAGGAGGAATCTAGCCGCCATAATTGTTTATAGATTTTTTATTGTTTTGTACACCATCATTTTGACTTAAAGTTCCTGTGGCGTTAAAGCTGAAAATTGCGAGTCGAGTCATTAAAAATTGCGAACTCGTTGTGATTTAACAGAAAGGTTTTTCTCGCCTTCCGTCTTGGTGTACGCGCACGTAATTCAATTTTAGGCGAGATAGTTAACGTTTTTGTATGTTTGTTAGTTATTCCGTACATTGTTACTTAACGCCTAGTTGTTAAGGTAGATAGACCAGCTTCAACGAAAGAAATTTTTAACTTTAATTATTGAGTATTGTCGCTTACCGCTCTTTGATATGGCTGACCTTCGGCCATTAATGTACCTTAACGAAGGATGCTGATGCCTGTTCTCAAACTGAAACCGCTTAATGTGGCCTCACGTGCATTAGATAGACACATTACTACTGCACAGTTACAGACATCGGCCCAGGTTAGGCTTGATTGCATCCAAACACAAGATTTGAAATCTATCTTTAGATGTATACGGATGCAATGCATACGTGA